GAAATTATTCCATTGTCTATCCTATTTTGCTGAGTCCAAAAGTCTTGTACTTAATTTGCTTTCTATTTTAATTTTCATTTTCAAATTATCTTTTAATGTCTCTCAGACTTTTATATTTTACACCTTTGATGGGGGATGTCCTTCTGTATGCTATGAATTGGTGGGTGGAGAGAAAATGGGTCTAGTGGGACCCATACAAGATTCGAAAATCTTCTTTTTCACAGCTCCTTGGTGAATTTCTTTTCTGAGTCTGGAAAACAAAGAAAACTATAACTGTAACTATCTAGTTTTCAATTCCCTCAGAGACCTGTGAGGGAAATAATATTAACTGAGTAAGCAGGAAGTATAAGCAAACAACTTCCAAAAACTGTGGGAAATGACAAAAATAACTGTCTACCTGGTCAGTCATCTAAAGTTCTTCTGCAATGTTGGGGCATCCATCTTTGACCTACAGGCCTAGCATATCTGACAGACTTTTCTGTGAAGCATAATTTTTGAAGGACTGTCCTACCTTGTGTTGGCAAGGTTTGTGGTCACTCTCTTTTGTGTCATGTTTGTCTATTTGAACAGCATACTGTCAATAGTTGAGGCAAGGGTTCTTTCTTGCCCAGTAGCTACTTTTGCTGCAAAGAAAGTAAACTCCATATGGAGTTTATTCAATGCCCATCATCTTCTCTGATGTAGATTGGTGCTGCCAGGAGCAGGCATGCCTCATTTTTATAAAAAAAGAACCTATGTTTTGAAACATCTTAAATGCCATATTCTGTAGATCTCTTAAGTATTTGAAGATGACCTGTCTTTCTATCTGACCTTGAAAACATGCCCAATATGACTACAAGTTTGATTATAATAGTTGACTAATTACTAACTTACATTTCCTTATTATCCTATGTAGTTGATAATAATAACTTTCAAGGACTAGAAATTTGCACTACATTGTATACATTAAACAATATTAGAAACATATGTACAGTATGTTTTAACAAATTCAATCTCACATTTGTACCAATATACAATATTTGCATACAATATACCAAAGTCCAATCCAATGTAAAATATTTAAAACTGGTAATTGATTTTAGAAGTAGATTCAATAATCTACCTTTTTATCTTATCATATATAAAAAGGGGAATTGTGGTGATATATTGTTTATGATTTAATAAAGCAACTGGAGATCAAAATGCAAGTCTAGCCACAGCCATAGAGCCAGGCAGTGGTGATACACATCTTTAATCCCAGTAGCTATACTAGCTATCCATAGATGGAGACAGGAGTGATATGGCTGAGTGGGGAGAGGAGTGTAAAGTGGGAGGAGACAGGACTGAGGAGATGGCAGTCTGAGACTTGGTGGAGAGATTGCAGTCTGGACTGCACTCTGAGGATTTGTGGAGACAGGACCACATTTTGTTCTAAGGTAGAAGTAAGAGCTAGAGGGTGGCTGCTTTGATTTTCTGATCTTCAGCTCGAACCCCAATATTTGTCTCTGGGTCTTTATTATTCGTGTTGTACATGTGCATATGTGTTGGGGAACGTGGGGTACCCAAGGATGAAGGCAGAAGGATGGGAAGTTCATTCTTATGTGGAGGTTAGGCTCTATGCAGAGGACAATGACTTCATCCTGCAGCTCTTCGGTCACCTGAACCTCTGTTCATGTGTATAGGGCTCTATTCTCTGATCTGAAGCCCTCTCAACAGTTATTCATTTTGTTTCAAATTTTAAAAAATTAAAAATTACATTTAGTTATGTATGTGTGTATATGGTGTGTATATGCACAGTATACATGTGATGATCAGAAGACAAATTTTGGGAGTTGGTTCTCTCCTTTCACTATGTGGGACCTGGAGATCAAACCAGTTCCTCAGACTTGGTGGCTGGCACCTTTACCTGCTGAGTCATCTCAGTGGTCCCCTCCTGGTAGTTTAGTATGACTTGCTGGTTGCTGCTCTTTGCTTTCAGTGTGAGAGCCACTTCCAGTGTTCCTCCTTCAGCTGGGGAGTTCCTGTGAAGCTTCTTGGGTCAGTCTGTGGCTTCAGTACCTCCTCCCTCCTTTTCCTCTTCTCTTCACACTTCCCCCTCACCCTTTAGCCCCTTTCTTGGCCCAGTGGTAGACATTAATTTCCGAGTCAAATAAACTAGAGCCAAGTCCAAGTTTTGTGGCTGACCACTTCTTGAGAGTCAGCAAGGCTCCTGACTCCACTCAGACTCAGCCTCTTTGCTTATAGCATGGATCATCAGTAAAAGCAGCAAACTATGTGGTCAGTCTCTAAATACCAGGCACAGCCCAAGGGCTGCAAGTGTTAGTTTACAATCTGTAAGGTCTGTATTGTCACCAGCCCCAGTGTACAGTGGAGAAACACCAAATGGCTTCTGATTGGCAGGTGCCACGGGCAGGAAGCTGGTAGCTGTCCCCCTTGTAGAGCTGATAGGGAGATCACAAGAGCCAAGACCTGCAGAGTCCTGGGTACACTGGCCAGCCCATTGCAGCTCCTCAGTGTAGCGTCACAGTAAGCACAGCAGCAAGGCAGACAGCACAGCACACAAGGGTGGAGCATTTGGATCCGGCAAACTGCCCCATCTACCGGAGCCAGGGGATGAGGCCCTGATGCAAACTGACTCATTAGCTCTGGACAATAGAAAATGATGGATGAAGCCTTTGATGAAAGAGAGCGTGATGGCCATCGATTGGAAGCCAATCTTGCTTCTTTCTTCTCCAGCTCTCAGACTGACTTCTCAGGGCTCTTCTGTCTGTGTAATTAAAGAGCTAACTGAACTGTCAGGCCTGTTCCTTCCCTCTTTCCCACCATCAGTCACCACCGTGGGGTGGGGGTGGGCATAGACATTTGGTAAACCACAGATCTTCTCCAGGGTCTTGAATCTCTGAAGCCACCCATCACCCTCGCTTTTGGCATTCTTTTAAAGCGTTGGCAGTTACAACTAGCAATTGTGTAAGGAACGAGGCCAGGAGCTGGCAAGAGGTCTCAGTGGGTAAAGGCACTTGCTGCCAAGACTGAACACTTGAGTTCAGTCTCCATATCCCACATGGTGGAAGGAGAGAACCGACTCCTGCAAGTTGTCCTCGGACATCCACATACATGCTGTGGCACATTTGTGAGCGTACACACATAAACTTTAAAGGGGAAAACAAACAGAGCCAACAGGTCATGAAGCACAGCACTAGATACTTCTCAAGGTCCCAGTAAATAGCAACTTGGATTTTTGTGGAACCAAATGTTGATTCTGAATGTTTAATTGCTTGCAGAGTCAAGTCCACAAGAGACAGTAGGGACATGGTGATGGTGGCACCACGTTTGATTTTCATAGAAACCCAGAGGTCCTCCTTGTGATCTGCAGTGTCCCTATTCTTACACACCTCTGCCTCAAGGTGTTATTCAAACACATTGTCAAAAAATTTAAAAGTAACAGGCCAAAGCAGTCCCTGGGGATGCTGAAAGTGATCTGGAGTCTGAAGCAGTCCCTGGAGATGCTGAAAGTGATCTGGAGTCTGTTGATGCAGATCAGGCAGATGCCTCCTTGGGTTTTCCTCCACACTGGATTTCTGAAAGCTGTCACTATCATGAGCAGGTATCCTAGTTGGGACTTGGATTCATTTTCCTGAAGGTGGGGATATGAGGATGGAGATAACGCTATCTGAAAAAGGAGGTCTAACATATTTATTAAATATGCTTATAAGATAAACAGAGGGATAGAAGCTCTGGGAACATGACTAGCTTCTGAGAGAGAGCTTTTTCTTTTCCTTTCCCTTTATATATCACCTGTCCTACGTACCCTTGTCCACAACCCTTTGGAGCATGGACAGTACTGTGGGTTTACCCCTACAATTCCCCTTTTAGTCTCAATAAAAGATTTAAACTTGATACAAAGCTCAAACATATGCAACAGTGGGAGACTCTTTTTCCTCCTTATGATAGACATTTTGTTCTATCTCTTCCTTTCCCTCCCTCCCTTCCCCCCTCTGTCTCCCACTCTCTCTGTTGGAGAAAAAGTAGCTTTTCTGGTGGTTGGAGCTTGACTTCTGTGGACTCTGTTAGCAACTACCACCCCACAGTTGAGGGACAGGAAGTAAAGCTGAAACCTCTCTCCTCAGCCTCCTGCTCACTTTCTAGGACTGGCCCAGAGATCAGGCTCTGCACTGAGATGAACAGAGTGAAGCAGCTATGGAAAAACATACCATGGCCCATCTCTGCTGCAATGGATGGGTTCAATTTACTGGTGTAGTGTAGAGCAATTTATTCCCAATAGAAACATTCCACCTGGAGGAAGGGTCCTTCAGACTCAGGAAGCAAGCAACTTACAAGTCTCTGGAAGTTCATTAGACTTACAGGACTCATAACCCCCTCCCCATGGTTAGGCTAGGTAAGTAGTGAGGACTGACTGCTGAGGATAGGAGATCAAGCTGTCAAGCTGCCAACAAGTTGCTAGAGAACTTCAGGGATGCAGTTTCTATGGGATATCTCCCATGCTGGGATGGTTTCTGATAATGCAGTTGCTTTCTAGTCATCTATGCTCCTGTAAGTAGCTCCTAAGTAACTCCAACAAACACACTGATTCTTTAAGCTATCCTTGAGTGACATCATTTCTTTGGCATGTGTATAGCTGAGTCTCATTGAATTATTGGGTCCTCAGCTCTTCAGGACATAGGGAGGAAGCTTAGTCAATGAAATGCTTGTCTTGCAAGCACAAGGATATGACTTTTGTTTAATCCCAATAATCAATGTTAAAATAAAAAAGCTGGATGTGATGTTTATCCCAGTGTTGGAGAGGCCAAGAAAGCTGGACTGGGTGACCTACCTGACAGACTCCTGGCTAATGAAAGACTCTGCCTAAAGAAAAGGCCTGCCCCTGAGGAATGATGACAGGTTTTCCTCTGACCTCCATATGCATGTATGCCTGTTCACACGCAAATACACATACATGCACATACACGATAAAATAATTTTTTAAATTTATAGTCATGTCAGTCTCTGTGTCTCACTGGACTGGAGCCACACCGTGCCCAGCATGCAGGCTCAGGAATGTCTGTGGTGGCGAATGGCTGAGCATTAAAATGGAAATTCAAAGCTGCCCCATTAAGGCCCATCTTGAAACTTGAATGAGCTCCTGAAAAGCTCATTGGTCTTCATTCTGGACCCATGGTTTCTTATTCCCTTTTCTCAGTGGAATTTGAGTCTCAAAACATTGCCTAGAAGGAGAATTTGGGTTTATTAAAGATCGATTTGCTGAATGATTTTAATGACTATATCCAGACAAATGGTGCCCCAGAAAAGACGGTGCCCATGAACAGAAGAAATTAGCTCTTGTTTATGCAAGAGACATTTATATGGAAGGTTTTTAAAGGAAGAAAAAAATGTCCATTTTGGATAAAATATGAAGCAACAAAAGTTATTGAATACAAATATAGAGTGGCCTAAATTTATTTTGTGCTTGGGGGGAGAAGAAAAAAAGTGAAAGAGAAGGATGTGGTATCTTAAAAGAGAAAAAAGATTTCAAATGAGCTAAAGCCTTGTGAACTTGGGAAAAATCTTACTTCTAACTTATTGACTATCCTGGTTTGTTAAATTCTTTTAAAAAATTATTCTATGTGCATGGGTGTTTTGCCTGCATGCATGTCTATATGTCATTTGCATCACCTGGTGCCCACAGGTGTCCTAAGATACAGAGTGGACCTAGGATAGTGACAAATCTGGCAGCATCTTTGGCAGCCTCTAGTATCTGAGGATGGGCTTGGGATGAAATGGAACTATGTTCAAATTGGGCTTTAGAACTTCCCAGGTAAGTGACCTTGACTAGTTCACTAGTTTCTTTTCTACAGAGTCTCATCTGTAAGGGAAAATAGAACACATCCAAGTGTTATCTGGGTGTAGTGGCACATGACAGCAATCCCAGCACGGGGGAGGTGGAAGCAGGAGGATCAGGCGTTTAGGGACCTTCTTGATTACATAATCGTTTGGGGGTCATCCTGGGCTACATGAGACCCTGTCTCAATCAAACAACCACAAACAAACAAACAAACAAAAAACAAACAAGCCAACACCCAACGTTTCTGTTGCTTGGCCAACAGATCAGATAGATATTACTGTATAATATGACCATCTCAAAATGCAGTGATTTAAAACTACATGTATTGTGGATGGAACTTTCTGTACCACCAGGTCCTGCAGCTGTTTAGTCCCAAAAAAACCACACAGAGGCTTAGATTAATTATAAACTGTTTGGCCAATGATTTAGGCTTCTTATTGGCTAGCTTTCTGTTAATTATTAATCCACTTCTATTAATCTGTGTATCTCCACGTAGTCTTGGCTTGCCAGTGATGCCTGGGTTTCACTACATGGCGTCTCCTTGACTCTGTCTACTACCTTTCTCTATCTCTGTTTAGATTTCCTACCTGGTTAAATCCTGCCTGCCCACTGGCCAAAACAGCTTTATTCATCAAACAATAAGAAAAACATATATTCACAGCATATAGAAGGACATCCCCATCAACATATATATTAAAATTATTATTACTGTGTATATATGTATGTATGTGTGTTTGTGTGTATATGTGTATGTGTATGTTTATATATATGTGTGCCTATTTATATGTATGTGTGTATATACATGTCTCAGTGTATGCGTTTGTGCATGTATCACTGTGTGTATGTGCACGTCTCAGTGTGTGTGTGTGTGTGTGTGTGTGTGTGTGCATGTCTCACTGTGTGTGTATGTGCCCATGTCTCAGGGTATGTGTTTATGTGTGTGTTCATGTCTCACGGTGTGTGTATGTGTGTGTGTGTGTGTGTGTGTACATGTCTCAGTGTATGCGTGTATGAATATCTCACTGTGTGTATGTGTGTTGTGTGTGTATGTACAAGTGTCTCATATGTGTAGAGGTCAGAAGTCACATTTCAGGAGTTGGTTTTCTTCCTCCACAGTGTAGGTCCTGGCTATCAACCCAGGTCATCAGGATTGGCAGCAAGTGTCTTTATCCACTGAATCATCTAATTGGTCCATAAACTATACACACTTTGCTCACGATTTCATGTGTCTGTCAGTGACTTCAGGTGTGTTGTCCTGGGATGTTCTTCCTCTGAAGGGTCCTCTGTGTTTCTGAGCCAGTTGAAGCAGGGTCAGCTTGCTGTTAGGGGAGGTGACTTGGTTCTCTTCACCTCCATGTCCCAGTGCAGGCCTGTCCTGGTTGCAGAAGCTGCAGGGACTAGAAGAGTAAATGGAAGTCAATGGAACCTCTGAAGCTCAGCTCAGAATTGGAGCTCTGGGGTGCACTGAATTTCCGTTAATGGGTCAGGTTAAGAGTGATCCCAGAACAAATGGTGGAGAGGTAGACTCTGATTCACAGTGGGAAAGATCTGCAGTAGGCAGGCAATTAGTGGGCGCCAATCAGAGCAATCAGCCTGCTGCAACAGGCTCTCAATGTGCGTGGAATTTTTCGGGACCTAGCAGGCATTTAGCTCACAGCAATCAATGACTTAGTATAACCCGTGTACAGCAGGAGCTCTATGCGGTCCCCGGGGGCACATCTGCATGAAGGATATTCTATGCTGGAAGTACACTCAGGGGAAAGAAAGGCACACCCAATCCAGACTACCACCTAAGGTCACCTCTGGCACCCCAAATCCCTGCTGAAATCTCTCCTGAGAAGAGAATAGCTTCCCTCTCTTTCATTTAGCTTTCATGAGCATTTAGCTTCAGCAACTTCTCCATTTCTATGCTAAGTCCTATTGTCCATTTCTATACTGAATCCTATTGGTCTTTTTTTTCCAGGTTTAAATTTATTATATTATTCTTTGATTTTTTTTCTGCCTTTGTTCTTGTATGTGCTTGTGTGTACTTTGGTGAGTGTGTGTGTGTGTTTTGTTTTTCCTTTTTTCCTTACTTTCATTCTTTTCCTTCCCTCCTTCCCTCTCTCTCTCTCTCTCTCTCTCTCTCTCTCTCTCTCTCTCTCTCTCTCTCTTTCTCTCTCTCCTTCCCTTCTTCCTCCCTCCCCCTCTCTCTTTTGAAACACTGGCCTGGAGCGTTGTCAAGTCAGCTGGCCTGTGTGGCCAATGAGCCTCAGGTAGGCACCTGTCTCACGTGCTGGGATTACAGTGTACACCACGTCTGCCTGCTTTTCTCTTTTCACCCGGCTTCTGGATATCAAGAGCAGTTCCTCCTGCTTATGAGGCAAGCACTTCACCAGCTGAGCCACACTCCCAGTCCGCTGTTTTTGTAACTGTGTGGTTCAATTCCGCTTTTCTGGTTTCTTTAGGATTCCTTCCCACTTTCCCCTTGAGCACACAGTAAAGGCAATGGTGAGGACCAAGGAAGGAAGAGAGATTTGCTTTTTTTTATAAACAGCCAAAGGGAGTGGGATGGGAAGGGGAGGGGGAGTCATGTGCTTATCATTTGCCACCTTTCCTTTGTTTCTGGTTTTGTTACAGAGGTATTGTTAGGTTTCAAAGAGCCTTTTGTACCTGGCCTCGAGTTCCCAGTTCTTCCTTTCCAGCCTGTTTTCTCTGTGTCTGTAGAGAAGGCTCGGCTGGAATTCGGGCTCCTTAGGAGCCAGTCAGTCTCCAGGTGGTCAGAGAGGAGGGTGGGAAGGGCCTGGGTCACTGGGTGATAACACCAAGGCATAGTCTGTTTCTTTCTGCTGGGGTCCTAGCTTCCTCCCCATTCTAAAGTGACCCCCGCTCTGATGCCCCCTAAGACCTCCCTTTCTTTGACCCATGACCAGCCCCTTCTATGGCAGCCTCACCTCTGCTTGTTCTTGTTAACTTTTGCCATTGGCTTCAGTCATCAAAATGTACTTACCGTCTCAAAGCTGATGAGAACAAAGCCACACTGAGTGTCTACTTATGTCGAGCACAGTGGCTGGCTGCATATTGTGTCTATGTGATCAAGTACCTAGGAGATGGGCACTATGTCAGACTACAAGGCTGGACCAGGGCCATTTCAGTCTGTGTAGCTAGGATTTAAACCCTGGTCTGCCTGACTTTAACGTCTATGATATGGATATGTAAATTTGTCTTCTCAGCCTAGTGTGAGCAACTTATTTCAGTTTCCTAAGTTCTGAAGGCCCTGCCTCCCGATGTATCACAATATGCCAGGCAAAGAGAGGTGACTGATCACTCAGCCTTTTCCTGTTACAAGGCCCAGTAAGCTGCTTCATCAGGCAGGCCTGGCTAAGCATGAAAGATCCTCCCCAATTTCCCAGTCCTGATCTGACAGACAGTGCCCAGATCCTGTATGGTTCTACTTGCTTCTAGTTCCCCATGCCTGATGCCCGTCTCTCCTCTTGCTTCTCAGCAGGGCAGTCTCGTGTGCCCATTGCATCTGTTTGGTCCCACTGGGAATGTGTCCTTAGTACTGTGGCTGCCACTGGCACTGAGACCGTGCTCTCATTGAAGCAGGGAGGCCTTCGAAGACCCTTGGGTGATATAACCAAGTAGGAATCCCATCAGGGATGCAGAATCTTGGTATGTTTACTCACTCCCTGGAGCAGCAGCATCATAAGCAATGCCTTCTGGATTCTGATACATCTTTCTCCAGTTCCTTTCAGCACCTGAAAACTCAGCCATCTTCAAAGCAAAAGAGTATTAGCAGGAAGGAGAGAAAAGTAAATAGGTGATTGCCACCTATAAATCTTAAGAATTATTTTCTTTTTATGTACTTTGGATTCTTAAGTAAATCATCTATATTGATTATCATTTTAAATCCTCTCTTTTGGTAGGGCACGTCCCTCGGGGGTGGGAAGCCCCACCTTTGGTCCCTAGCACTTCATAAAACTGGGCATGGTGGTGCACACTTATAATCCCAGCATTTGGAGGTGGAGGCAGGAAGATTAGAAGTTTAGGTCCATCCTTGGCTGCATAATGAGCTCAAATCCAGCCTTGGGTACAGACGATTTCTCAAAACCAACAATACCTCTTAAACAAAGAATAAAACTCCCCCACAGATCAAGGAACTCAAATACCTTAGGAGCAGAGGTATTGCTTAGAACTGAATATATCCACATATACCCTCCCGCTGGGACTGCTGAAGAGGAGGCAATTGAATGGCAGACATCCACAAGTATCTGAACCAGCACACAAGCAAAGGCACACCACACAAGCAGACCTACCCAGGCTTGTCATGTCATCAGAAACATGACACATGCAGACCCACCCAGGCTTGTCATGCCATCAGAAACATCACACATACAGGTCTGCCCAGGATTGTCACGTCATCAGAAACATGACAGAACCTCCCCACTTTCTGACAATTCTCCTTCGATCATCTTAAGCCTGACCTCTGAGAGCTTGAAACATCATACAGAACACAGGGGAAGGACATGAACTGTTTAACAGCCACAGACATCACTTCTATGCTTACAACATTCTCAACACATGTGTCGTGTCTGGAGGCACAACAGTTGGAGAGCACAGCAGCCAAAACCCAACACAGTGGGACCGCGCCAGTCTCTCAAAGTTGAATATTAAACAACCATCCTGAGTGGCCCATATTTCTGGAGATTGTGTGTGCTTATGATATACAACAGGGGTCAAATCAATATTCACCCAGAGGAACACATTAGGAATGAGCAGTTCCTTACTTAGCCAAGCGTGCCAGCTCTCCAAGGATGTAGAAATGAAAGATTTCCTTAGTCCTTCCCTACATGGCCCAAAGAGCATCTAAAAGCTCCCCAAGGTTAATTCAAGAATAAAAAAAGACCTTTGGCAATTGTGATATTGTGAGAATTTCCATTAGATAAAGTTAATGGGATTTTTAAAAGTACTTCTTGGTTGCTATTAGGTCCATGCTGGGAAAATAATGGAAAAAGTCCAGCAAATTTTTTCCCTCAAAATTAGTGGGAAATATTACAGAGGAGAAAAGAGTTCCTCAGTGGAAGAGGACCAATCTGCTTCCAGGAAATGGCCATCAAGGTGGGTAGTCTTCTATACATTCCAACTATTGTTATGGCTAATGTTGCTACTAACCAAGTTGCAACTGAAATTTACAGGTGGCTCAGGGCCCTCAGGAAGTAGGAGATGGTTGGTAATTATTCTATGCTGGGTTTTCTTTTCTTTTTTTTTTATTCCAGTTGCTCTCCCTATCTCTTTCAGTTGACCAAATCTGAAAGGTCAAGAGAAGGAGGGAAATATCACATCCCTCCTGTTCCGGGAGACAGACAAGGTGTCTGAGTGCCACCCTGTGTCTGAGTGGCTCCAGTGAAGCGGGTCATCTTGTGGGTGTTCTGGCTGGAGTCTGATGCTTTGGGAACCTGAAGCACAGGGCTGGTGAGAGGGTGGGAGTCAAGCGCTCATCAGCTAAGAGCACTCGCTGCCTCATAGAGGAGCTGGTTCATTTCCTAGCACCCACGCAGTGGCCACAGCGACCTGCTACTCCAGTTCAATGGGATCCACTGCCTTCTTCTGGCCTCCTCAGGTAGCAGGCACACATGTGGCATGCACGTACAGAAATCCACACACAAAATAAAATAAATACATCTTAAAACAAAAGAAGAATGGATTTGGGGAGATGGCTCTACTGATAAGACATTTGTTGTATAAACATGAGGACCAGAGCTCAGATCCCCAGCACCCAGGGAAAGCTGAGTGGTTGTAGTCGAAGCCCTTGGAAGGTGGAATTGGGATCTCCTAAGCAAATAGGCTAGACTAGCCGAGTCAGCGAGCTCTGGTTCATAGAGAGACTCTGCCTGAGTAAATGAAGTGGAGAATGACCAAGGAAGACACCTGGCATCAGTCTCTGGCCTGTGTGTGCACGAGCATACATACACACTGTGCAAACACACACACACACACATACACACACACACACAGAGAGAGAGAGAGAGAGAGAGAGAGAGAGAGAGAGAGAGAGAGAGAGAGAGAGAGAGAGAGAGAGAGAGAGAGCAGGTATTAAAGAGCTGTCCGAAGGGCATCTGGGATGATGGACACCGAACACTACTGTGTTTCCTTTGTCACGGAAGCTGGGGCAGCACTTCACACTCCACATTTCAGGATGAGAGGCAGGAAACCTCTTCTAGTCATCGAAATTACAGGTCTTCAGGGAGCTGTGTCAGGGAGGATTTGAATTCACCCTGGGATGCAACAGCCATTATTCCTCTAAGACACAGGTGTGCTGGGGCGGGGTGGAGGGGCTCACTCTGGGGTGTGTGATTGGCTGGACATAGCAGAAACAAGCATTTTACTCATTCCTCAGTGGGGCTGTCTACTTGGGAATCTTAAAAAGAAATTTCTTCAGGATCTCTTCAGATTGACTGAACCAGGACCAGAAATCAGCATATTGAGAAATTTATATGTAAAAATGACCATTACCTGGGGAAATGGGCATGTGGGAACTGTAACTGTACATTGTATACATGGCATCTTGATTTTAGTCAATACCTACAGAGCAGAGATTAGGACAAGGAACTTTGTGCCAGTCTAGGCAGAGCCACAGTTAGGAGCTAGGTATTGACAGGGTCTTTCCCTGTAGGCTAGACTGTATCTCATAAAGTGCTTCTGGAAACATCTGGGAAGGTTTTGTGACATTCCTTTCAAAGCCTAAATAATATAGTCACCTAGAAATGAGTTTCTCTGGCAAGATCTGATCCTTTTTTATGGCTGATTCCAAGAGTTCTCAGGGGCAGCACCTGCTTCTTCCTCTGGGGACAGCTTCCCGTGCAACAGGACAAACAGTATTTGTGCCATGGCTAAGTACTGCCTTGGGACACTGGATGAGCCCCAGACACCTCCTCTTTATTCCAGATGAAGCCATGAGGCTGAGACAGGAAGAGAAACTCAAGGTCACAGAACTCATCACAAAATAATGTTCTGGTCTTTCTGTCCCCAGGCCTCATATTTTCTGTTTGTTTGGGACCTTTGTAAGACTTTAATCATTCAGAGAAATTCAGTGTATTATACTGGGCTAAAAAAAATTGCCTGTCTTTTCTGAGTTGAAGCAAGTGCCAAAGATGCTATTTAATTCTTTATAAAACTTCACAAATATTGAGGTCTAAACTACATAAGAGGAGTAAACTTGAAAGCATACCAATCACTATTTTTTTCAGGTAAGTCTCAAATTAAAACATGACTTATTTTTACTTATGAGTATGTGTGTGTGCCATGTGTGCAAGTACATGATTTATTTTTATCTACGTGCATGTGTGTGTGAATGTGTGCATGTGTGCTAGGTATACGAGTATCTGAGGAGCTCCTTTCCTGGTTGTGAACTGCCTGCTGTGGATGCTGGGAACTGGACTTCAGTCTTTGGGAGAACAGCAAGTGCTCTTAACCACTGAGCCATCTCTCCAGCCCCTCAAAGAACCTATAACACACACAGCTCTGCCATGTGTAGGTCTTTGCAAGGGCAACATTAGTGCTGACAAAGTCTTTTGTGTTCTGGACGTTGGAGACATTTTCCATGTGTGGAGGTCAAGCTTGATCATTTGTAATCAGTTGGCAAAAAGACACATGTGCACAGCCATGTGGGAAATCCATGACTATTTTCAAATAACGATATAGAGTATAATTAAGGTTTGCTATTAAGTACTAATTAATTAAGCTGTCAGATTTTAATCAAAGAATTGATTGTCTCTGTACAGCGTGCTGGTGGCTTCATGTCTTTGCAAAGCTCTGGAACCCTGATTTGCAGAGATTGACAAATTAAAGAGCCAACTCTAGTCTGGAATCCTGTAATAAGGACCCAGCAACTTACTGCTTCTTTCAGGAAGTCTACAGTGAAAGAGGGAGTTGGGGAGATGGCTCAGTCAGTGAAGTGCTCTCTACAAACACATGGGGACCTGAATTCAGACACCCAGGACCCATGTAAAAAAGCTGGGCATAGTCCATCCCCGGGACTCACTGGCTATGGTCCAAGCCTATCTCAAAAGATAAGGTCAACAATACCAGAGGTTGACCTCTGGTTTCTACATGTGTGTGAACACATGCACACCCACACAGACAAACATGTACATACATACCTAGATACACACAAGCTTACACATACACATGTATATACACACTTATATTCACATATGCACACATATCAAGCAAGACATATACGCACACACATGTATACACACATATACACATGCGCATACATATGTGCACACATACACACACATATATCCTGCATACTTGTACACATATGCACGTATACATATATACATATGTAGACATATACATGCACATGCTATCTTAGGACTAAGTCGAAGGCTGGTGATGACTATTCAGATGGAAAAAAGAACCCTAGATACCTACTGTGTGCCATTACTTTGTCCTTAGCATGGTTTACTTTACTGAAAACCACTGTACTGGTTACTTAGGTCATCACTGTGACAAAATACCTCACAGATCAACTTAAAGGAGGCAGATTTATTTATCTCAGTCCATCATGGGGGGAAGGTGTTGATGGCTGGAGCTCCTTGCAGGTGGCTGGAGGAATGTGTGGTAGCTGCTTCACATATGACAGCCTCATCAGGGAACCTAGCACTGGACAGGAAGGAACTAGGGATAATGTACCCACAAAGGCCCTGTCTTCAGCGATTCACTTCTTCCAGCTAAGCCCCACCTTTAAAAGGTGTCATGATTTCTGAAAATAGTGCCACCAGCTGGGGACTGGGTGTTCAAATACACAGGAAGCGTTTCCGACTCAAACTATAACAAGCACTCTTAGGAAAAGATGTGCACTGAAGTTCCTATTCCCCAAGCCTAAGTAACTCTCTCTGTCTCTGTCTCTGTCTGTCTGTCTTTCTCTACACACACACACACACACACACACACACACACACACACACACACACACGGAATGAAACCTAGGGCCTCATTCATTCTAGGTAAATTCTCTACCACTGAGCTGTACCCTAGCCCTCTTTGTGTGTGTGTGTGTGTGTGTGTGTGTATACTCAAGTGTGTGTGTGTATGTAGAGGACAGAGGACTGACTCAAGTGTGTGACTCACTTTATTTTGAGACAGGGTCTAGTCTGGCTGGCCAGTGAGCCTTAGGGATCCATCTTGTCTCCACCACCGCAATGTCAGGATTCTAAGCATGTGCCACCGTGCCTAGCTGTTTTTAGGTG